CGGAGGTAGAACTCTCCTCCTCCCCTCCTCTCACATCTGTCCCCATCACTCTCTTCTCTCTTCCATAACCAGTTCTCTACCGCTCCCACTACTTCTTCTACCGATGCAGATGAGTGAGTGGACGGAGCGACAACCTCCTCTGGCTGCGGACGAGAAAGAAAGCAAGGTGAGGCTGGTTCGCCGAGCACTGCGCGTGGCTGACCCCGATGCCTCCTTCTCCCATCGCCCTAGCTGGAGTAGAGATGAATAAGCTGGGATCTATCCCCAACCTCCTTTTCCACTACTGATTTAAGATTGTTGGACTGTAGCAGGACTAGATTGTGTGGCGTGTTGTGGACAATTGATGCTCTTCTTCCCATGCAAGCCAGATTGTGTGGAGTATCAATGCTCTTTTGTTGGACTGGAATATACACTAGATTATGTGGACTTGAACTACAACGGATTTGTGGCTCCATTTCATTATGTGAATTCAAACTGTACAGGATAGTTATTTTGTGTGCACTCATGAGGATTCTGGTGCATTGCCTTTGCTAATATGCAGACATGTGATTTTTTTTAACTCCAACCATCTCTGCCACTTCGAAGACATGTGATTAAATTTTGACCATTTTTTCACTTCAATCAACAAAGATATCTAAGTTGGAGTTCATGTCACCAAAACAATATTCCAATTTTTTTACATACATGTACAAGCACCTTGGGTCCATGATATCTACAAACTACCAAACAACATTTGTTGTATGCAACATCTCTCACACAACCCCAGATGCAACATACCAAATGAGATTTGAGCTTAGCCTGGCCCATATATATCATGCAGTCCATCAAATACACTTCTCTACTCCTTGCATCCATTCACCTTGAACAGTCTCAACCAAGCTCTTTCATACGATGCAGGCTAGAGCCCCAGGGAACCAAACACGCCCCAAGTGAACAAGAATGTAAACCCATGTCTGACTGGCGGCCGGTGCGGCAAGTTGCAAAGCGTCAACGACTTGTCGACTTAGGGCATCTCCAACATGGACTCTCAAAACGCACATAAATGTTCGAATGTAGCTGTCTGGACCGCTGTTTGTCATCCAACGCAGCATCTCATCCGTTTGCTAACCTACCCGGTGGTCCAATATCCCGCATATTGGACGCAAATCAGGGGGCTTTGCGGGCATCCGGGCCGCTGCCACATACGCGTCCGACACCTCGGACCCACCCAAAATCGTCTCTTGCGCCCGCGCCCTCTCCCGTCCGAAGCGGTTGATGCACATTCATGTCGGTTAGTGCCGCATTCGTATCGGCCCAGAGTGGATCCGACCTCTCAATGGAGCTGGCATTGAAGCAGCATGCCAGCTAAGAGAGACGCCCTCGCCACATCCAGGTCTTCGCGCATATTCATTGCCCGAATAACGTGACTGGACGCATGCAAACCAGCTGCCCAATCATCCGCTTGTCGGCATTAAATAGGCGCAGCTACCGAGAATCCCACTCCGCCGTCTACACTGAAACAACCCACGGATTGGCCTGTTCGACACCCACTATTTAAACGTGAAGTCGTCGGGCACGATCCGCACTGCACCACATATGCTTCCAATCCTCCTTCACGCACCACCTCAACCATGATCGTGAGGTCTAGAGTGATGTGGGAGAGCCTCTCGATGGAGCAGAAGCACGAGGTGGCCAGCCTTGCGGCCGGCTAGCAAACTGTCATGCGAGGCGGATACTGACAAGTTCACTGGCGTGCTCGTCAAAGGTGAGCGATGAGGACCCGATGATGAGGAAGCTTCCAACGATGAGCCGACGCCCCCGCCCTCGCCGGTCCATGACGGCTTCGCCATGGAGCAGGCGCAAGCGCCCTTCAACGCCGTCATGGCAAAGGCTTGTCGGTGCCGGAGATGTCGGCGGTCCGACAGGCGCGGGACGAGCAGCGCTATAACTCGCCCTCCTCGAGCATCACCGGATGGCGGAGGGCCAAATCTACGACGAGTGCGGAGGCCATGGCCGTGAGGACCCAAACTTCGTCGAGGAGCAGCGGGCGCTCTACAAGGCCGTGCGCAGCGCTCATGCAGTAGAGTCGGAGGCGCAGGCGGTCGTGGAGGAGAACGTCGACAGCTGTGTGCCCTTGGCGCCACTAGTACCACAAGGCCGGCCCGTCCACGCGCATTGTTGACCACACTTCCACCGACGACGGCTAGACCGCGAATTCCGATGAGAAAGAGTAGAACATGGGAAATGGCGGCGCCTTGTGTCCCATGTGGACCAGTATGTGGCCCATGTCTTACTCTTCCTTGCCGGTGTCCTCAAACTTCACTTTCCGGAGCTCATGGTCGCTAAGGATGCCGAACATGGGAACAACAAGGACTTGGAGAACAGCCGCCGGAAAAGATTTTGACTAGATTAACTTCCAAACGCTTTTTTTTAATGAAACATATCAAAAATGTAATAAATATGTTCTGGTCTAGATAAAAATCATTCGATTTGCATGAAAATTGTCTGATTTATTCAAATCTTGTTTGAAATATATGCGGACACAGATGAATCGTTCACACACACACGTATCCGCTTAAGAGGTCCACGTTCCGTCCCCTGCCTTCGCTCACGGCCGAACCTCTATATTGATCGTGCGGGTGTTTGTTGCGTGTTGTCAAACATGGGGGTGTTGTGATACTTTCAAATCCACCACGACACGAACATGACCTTTGAGAAGGTGTCCCTGCACAGGAGGAATGGCCAGATAGTACTCCCTCGTAAAGAAATATAAGAGTGTTTAGATCACTACTTTAGTAATCTAAAAACATCTCCAACCGTTGGCCTCCTAGGTGGCTCCAAAAATCGTCATCTGAGGACGAATCGACGCTAAAATAGGCCTGGAGGCGATCGGGTTCCCAGCCAACGCCCCCAGGGTCGGCCTCAAGCATCTGTTTTTAAACTTTTTTGAACATTAATTCGACTAAAATTCGGCGAACAAGACAAATATTCAGCGAAACAGCATAGTTCAGCGAATTGAAACAGTTTTTACACATAGATAAAATACATGGAAAAAAACACAGAGGCCGCGGCTACAGGCCGAATAACGCGCTGAGAGAAGCGAAGTCGCCGTCGCCGCTGTTGTCCTCGTCGTCCTTCTCTTCCTTCACGCGGCAGCCCTTGCTGGAATCCTGCCCAGGGTCGCCCTGGCGGACCGGTGGCGGCGCGTTGCCGTCGCTGTCGTCCTTGAGGACGACGACCCCTCCCTCGTCGCGACCACGGCAGCAAGCAGCGAACTGCTCTAGGGCGAGGCGCTGGCGCAACAGCTCCGCCCGTGCCCAGTCTTCGCACGCCCACTTCAAGACCGCCACATCGTGTGTACGCGTGACAGGGAGGGGGGTCGTCGCCGCGCCGCCCGTGAGGAATCACTGGAAGACTGACCGGCGGCAGCCTTGGCATTGATTCCCGGCGGGAAACCAAGGCATTGTGAGGACGACGAGGCGGGGGTCGCTGACTCGGCGGGCCCGCAGTTCGTTCGTGTCAAAATTGCTTGCCCCGGCGCCCCCGGGCGTCCCCCACCGTGCTGGGTTCGGCCTGGGTATGCCGGCGCCAGTTTGGGCCCAAACCGACAAAAAACAGGCTCATGAAGGCGCGAC